GGGGGGGCGGCGGCAGCTGCCAAACGGATGAGTGGAGGATGTATATACTTGTGTGCCCCTAGCACTGGGAAAATTTAGAGAGCTGAAAATTTTCCATCAATTCTATCTGGGGTTTGTCAAGCAAATTAGCAACACTGATTGTAAAATGTGAACTTGGATTTACCTACAGACACCCCCCCGCCAAATAAATTTATTAGAAGGCATTTATAAAAGTTTGCCAAGTGCACTCTATACTGTACATTCACATTAAGGCTGTCCAATATTTCTACATCTTTTAACGTACTTCTAATTCACTACAGGTAACCTCTTCCTGTGAATTTTTCCACAAAAGTTTGGATTGAATGGTCAATGTTTTTCATAGGTTTACATTTATCTGTATGTATAGTGAAAAAACAAGTGACATGTACATACCGTAACCACCTAGACCATCTGGATTTGGATAGCAACCGCTGTAGTTTCCTGTCATGCCCATTCTACCAACTGCACCATAGCCTGCACCATCTGGATCACAATACACAAAAAACCAACAATGTAGTCATCCATTGACATGTACACTGTAGTTTCAAAGTTTAAATCAAAACTAGTGCATATTACATACCTAGTGTCTCTCTGCCATAACATCCCATTCCAGCACCCATTCCAGCGCCCATTCCACCACCCATTCCAGTGTTCATGCCACTGTTCATGCCACTGTTCATGCCACTGCCCATTCCAGCACCACCACCACCAGCAGTTGAATTCAAGAACAACTCAATATACCGATGCTCTGAAAAATAAAGAGAGTATATATATATATATAAATCTTGTCAGAGTAAAAATGTGTACATGTAGATGTAAAATGCCACAAATAACCAACATACGCATGTTGTTTTTATCTTTGGACATGGCTCCTACTGCATCTTCATGTGTTCCAAATTCCACATCTGCTTCTCCAGTGGCTCTTCCATCTGCCCCAATGTCAATATGTACTCTGATTGGTGTAAGCGGCGAGAAGAACTAAAAGCAGAAAGAAAAAACCTTTATAAATCTTGGTTTCAAACAAACCCTTTCCTAGTTCAGTTAAATACCAACATTCACATTTTAAACAATCCTGTCATGAAATAAGTCAGATGAAACGTATCTAACAGAATCATCACTTTGCGGTAGAGGAAGATTCCATGAATGAGAGCCAGACCAGGGAAGTGTAAAGACTTACGAGGCATGCCCCCAACAGTCACTTCGTTAAAAGTGAATGCCCACTATTTATCAAGCTATAAATCATACGTTGGAGAACGTCACCCTAAGCTCAGTATATCGCGAGCTACAGCTCGCAGTATACCGAGACGCCGCAGTATAGCACGGTAGCGCGCGGTATACCGAGACGCCGCAGCTGAAGCAGACCCCGACAAATATGTCTGGATCCGCCCAGCTGCGTGAGTGACTGCTGGCTCTGTCTATCTAGAGGCAGAGCCAGCTGTACCCACCCCCTCCCGTTCCAGTCAGCGCTGGAGGATCGGAGCGGGGGGAATCCAGCCCCTCCCCTGTCATGGCAGAGAGCCGTGACAGGATCGAGAAGTGAGCGAACGCCGGTATGTGTTCGCTCACTTCCCGATCTACTGAGCCGACCTGTAACAGTCTCATTGTCACAGGTCAGTTGGAACTATGAGGTGAGTGAAAAGCACTGACCTCATAGTTCTCCTTTAAGTCTTACACGACTAGCCCTGGACAAAAAGTAAAGAACTTACACCGGCGATATCGCTTTCTGTTGCACGGAATGGCAAGCCCCGCATATGAACAAAATGCCCACTGTGGAAACCTGTACCACCATCAGCAGCTCCGGGGTAACCCTGAGTCAATCCTAGAAATGAAGAAAAAAAAAAAAGTGTTATGTATCACAAAACAAATAAATACACTATTGAAAAATTTCAACTGTATAGGTTCATGAACACTGCAACAAAGACCTCTCTGCATGCTCACAAAAGGCATGCTGTCACTTTAAAAAAATATATTAAAAAAAGCCCAAATGGGTAAGCCCAGGGACTAGTTCCTTTAGAACTTGAATTGCATTCATGTAATTGGCTGTGCCATTAGCTTCCGCCCCATTCCCCCATTGGCAGAGATCAGTGCCTGATAGCACTGGGTTCATTTCAACACTGGATGCAGGCATGCAAGCACCAGGATCTGTTGCAACTCTACAAAGTGCCCAACACTCAGCAGGCCACACACCAGGGCCTTATGGCCGTGACACACCAGGGCCTTATGGCCGTGACACACTGCACGCGAAGCCGTGCAGAGCGAAGCAAAGCTATCCGGCACGGAGCTTTGCGTGCAGTGGGATGAGTGACAGCACCTTCAGCCAATCGGCTCGTCCGTAACAACCTGCCAGCTGTTGCATTGCGACGCGCTGGTTTATACGTGCGAGCCGATTGGCTGAAGTTGAAATTGTTCATCTCGGCACGCTCAGCTCCGCGAGCTCTCGCAAGCTGAGGTGCCGAGCAGAAAATTACATGACACACTGCTCGCAAAGGCAGCGCGCCCCCGCTCTGCGCTGCTTCGCGTGCAGTGTGTCACGGCCTTTAGACTGTTCACAAATAGTGTAGGCACACTCTGCTGATACAATGTACGATAACAGATGAGGAAGACATACCTCTGCTTTCTCGAAGCCGATCGTCAAAGCCATCTCCTCCAAAGCCATAGTTGTTATAGCCACTGTAATCCTCAAATCCCCCATAGCCTAGAAACAAATCACAAGGATAGCATGTTGAATGAGATTTACACACAATTATAATAATAAAAAAAATAGAGCAAAAAAGGAAAAATGCCAGCATTATCCAAGTTTTTTTTAAATCAGTTCCAGTTAAGTTATGCTAAATTAGTTCATACATATTCAAGCAGGGAAAACTAAAGAAAAATGAAGCTCAGATTGTGATTAAAACTAGATACCAGCAGCTTGCTACAAATTCTCAATTGTAAAAAACATAAGACTTACCACCCCCATAACCTCCACCTCCACCTCCTCCTCGCATACGATCATACATGTTGCCACGGCCAGCTCCGTAGTAGGCACCTCGGCCACCACCCATTGGTCTATCATAAGGACCTGGTCGCTGTCCTCCCATCAGTCTTCGAGGTGGATCATAAGAGGATCTGATTTCGCCTCTGCTACTTTTAAATATTTCAATGTATCTATGCAAGCATTTTAAAAAGAAAAGTCAGTATGCAGGTAAAAAGGTAACAAAATATTATAAAATATTGGCTTCACAGAATATATGCATAGCAGCCAAAGCGTTCATACAATCAAGTTTTAGAAGCTCAGAAAATGGAAAGCCGATTCTTAAAGAAAGTGTTTGAAGAGAAAAGATATCAATTTGCATTGTTATATTGACTGAGCAAATAAAATTTTTTTTTTTTTTTTTTTAAATCAGAACCCCCTCCCACCACCATGAAGCCCCAAAAAATAAAGAAAACAATAAAAACAAAGAACAGAAAACCGTCCCCGTTCTGTCCATCCCCACCTGTGCCCTATTCTTTCCTTGTGTTTCCCCAGAGCTTTTTCAGCTATCTCCTTTGAAGCAAACTGCACGAAGGCCTCCCCTGTGCTTCTCCCCTGGTAGTCCACCGTCAATGTTATCCCATTTGGCACGATTCTCAACCCTTTAACCCAAGGACAAATAACCCCGTCAAGGGGAACAGTGTTAAAGGCTGAAACAAACCCATCTTAACAATACTAACAACTTTAAATAAAAAACCCAAAAGCCTAACAGTTCACATTACAACTACAGATTTATCCCACCACCCCGCAATATCTACATTAAACAAGAACTTTACCAGTATACAAATTTATGAGTGTATAGACTATGAGATATAAAGCCAACAAGCCAAAAATAAAAGTGGCATACATTAAAAACATTTACAAATTTGGAGAATGTCTCAGGATATACTCAGAAGATATTCGAGAGAATGGGCTCAATTCACAAAGATAAGAATCTCTAATTTAGCCATGACTACTTTTTCAAATCTCACTGGACTTGGCTGCAAATAACTATCATGTTTTAAAAAGAAGTATAGTTATCCTGGGGTGTTAACTTTCTGAACTGAGCCTTACACATCCAGCTAAGCTTCAGCTTTTTAGCAATATTAATCTCAAATTTCTCATTCTGTCAGGTTCTGTAAACAATTTGAATTATTTGTAAATGTTATTAATAGCTGCTTTATGAGGCAACTTGTGTTTTAGGCTTAATGGCCTTCCGTAAGTCAAGTTTAAGAATTACTTTTAATCAAAAAGATCTAACTATTCAGGCTATAGCTATTTCCTGTATTCTCAGACTTAAATATATTACAGGTTTTATGGAACTACAAGTACCTGAGAAGAACTGTACAATTTCTTCTTTGCTGCAGCCAAAGGGTAGCCCACGAAGCCTCACGGTTCCATCTGTGGAGGATTCTGCCTCTCCAGCATTGCTGTGTTTTAAGACCCATTCCATTTCTGTGTTGTTTGATTTGAAAACTGCAACAGTAAGATAAGTAGTCAAACCACTTTTGCATAGCACATGCAATGACGACAATGAGGCATGTTTATTCTACAACATTGCTGAAAGTCAGGAGTGAGAACTAGGTGTTGGCAGAGCCTTACCTTCAATATATCTGTGGCCCATATACTTCCGGTCTTTTTCTAGAGACTTTTTAAGGTCTTCTTCTGTGTCCAGTATAACAAAGGCTTCTCCACTAGGACGCCCTTCCTTGGACATTGTGAAATGAATACCGCCAACTCCATCGGCAATAGAGCAATCCACTGTATGGGACAGCAAGTTCACGTTACATGCCAAAAACATTTACTACTGTTATCAAAGTCTCAACTGTAGAACATTAGCACTTGTACAAGCAATACCTCCATACGGATTTTCCCCCTCTATTATATAGGAAGCTGATCACTGCATGCAAACAAATTTTACAAAAACAAAGTCTGTATGTACAAGCCTCACTCCTACAGTAACTTGATGCATCTCCTTGTCATGGGAATGGTCTATACATTGGTATGCTTACTACTCACCCTGATCATTTTACTATGCACAGTGCCAATCAATAATGCTAACACTTCAATTTGTGCAGAAAAGACAAAAATATGGAATTCAGGTGATTAAAAAAAATGCTGCTCTGCATTAGGCCTACTGCTACCAGTTCTGATTGCTACTCCTACTGCACCCACTCTGATGATCCTAAAATCCTGATTAGAGCACACAGTACTTTCACTTGGTGGAACCTTCATTGACCCAACCCTGG